TCCCTTTTTTTTTTTCCTTTTTCCCCCCTTTCTTTTTCTTTTTCTTTTTTTTTTGTTTTGCATCAGTGTTACTGAGTTGACTTAGTTTGGTTGCTGTGAACCCCTGAGGTAGCTATGCTAAAACAAGTTAAGGCTGCTTTATTTTATAAGTTCTTGCATTAAGTTAAAGACTGTTTAAACTAGTTTGAGTGTACCTACCCTAAGAGTTTGCAGTGCTTACTTTTTATTCCTTTAGCTACGCTGTGCATTTTATGATGAGAAGGAGAAGAAAGATTTTTCCAATATAAACATGCCATAAATCATATTTATATTCCCTCCCACGGTAGAATTTGTAGAGATGAACATGTGCTAGAACAGTGAACTGTTAAAAGTACATATTTATTTCACACCAAAATGGAAACACAGAGCAAATGACACATTGCACATGAATTTGGTCTGGTGACAATAAGCCCTACTATTTTTGTTGACAATATGGCATCTTTTCAACCACATTCTGTTTCTAATACTGTTTATTTATATTCAGGACAGAGGAAAGTGTTTGACCTCCCATTTGGAAGCTGCCTCTTTCACAGCAATGTGTATGATAATGGGTCCTCGTTTATTTATGACAACTGCACGATGTGCACATGCAAGGTAAGTCCACAGTGCTTTGGTGCTGTGTGCTGCTGGCTCTCTGGCTTAGCAGTAATTTGTAGGGCTGTGGAATTGTAAGCCTTGATACTACTGTTCTTAGGCATCTTGTGTGGTCCCCGAGAACGTGATCTGAAGAGCACTTGCAGTTTTGCTAGGAAAGTTTAAAAAGTTACTGACTGCCTCAGCTGAGACATGATTCCTGACTCTGTATCATGCAAAACGAAGTTGCTCAGATTGTGTGATCCTCTTTTAAGTTTGCATTACAGTGGAAGAGGAGTTTCTAAATAGTGAATTGCCACTTCTCTGCTGAAGGGCAGTGATTTTTTTGTTTGTTCCTCTAATATGACTGAGACAAACAAAATAAAAAAGTCACCAAATCAGTAAGATTTTGCCATGAAGGATTCCCTTAATCCAATAAATAATTTTTATTTGGAGCTGTTCAGCCTGTAGAAGAGAAGGCTCCAGGGAGACCTTCTAGTGGCCTTCCAGTACCTGAAGGGGCTACAGGAAGGCTGGGGAGGGACTTTTGACAAGGGCAGGGAGTGACAGAACAAGGGGTGATGGCATTAAACTGGAAGAGGGGAGATTGAGATCAGCTATTAGGAAGAAATTCTTTCCTGAGGGTGATGAGACACTGGAACAGGTTGCCTGAAGACATTGCGGCTGCCCCCTCCCTGGAAGTGTTCAAGGCCAGGTTGGATGAGGCTTTGAGCAACCTGGTCTAGTGGAAGGTGTCCCTGCTGATGGCAGGGGGGTTGGAACTGGATGATCTTTAAGGTCCCTTCCAACCCAAACCATTCTATGGTTCTGTGATTTTCTCTAAGCTGACTTGTTCAAAGCAGTTGGGCTTTAGCTTGGGTGGGTGCAATGACTGAGCAAGCAGAAACGTGATGGTAAGGACACACATTGCACATCTTGGTGATGATTTAATTCTTTCCTTTTGTCCTTCTACCTAGGATTCAACAGTGATATGTAAGAAGAGGTGCTTACTTCCCGGTGAATGCAATAAAAACAAAGACCACTGCTGCAAGGAGTGTGTCTCATATATCTCTCCTGAGGAAGTGAAAGTGTGCAAGTTTGGCAATAAGATCTTCCAGGTAAAGTTTCAGGTGTGGCTCAAGAATAGATGCCATTTTAACAGCTGATACGGCATGAATTTACTGTAAAAATCAGTATTGTGGCTTCGTTTTTAGCAGAATCCTCACCATCCTGGTTGGTGGTGGAAGAGCTCTGAAGCAAAGCTTTGCAAAGTTTGCCATCTGCTATTTTTTTTTTCTGAGTTTGTGTAAATTCTGTTGATACACAGAATTTAATATTTGTCTCCCTCTCTGCACGCAGAGATTCAAGCTGCTGTTTCATGACTAGTAATGCATTTCCAGTAAGAGATAGTAATGCTCTGATTTCCCAAACAAACACTGATATTCATGCAGAAGATATTCTGAGTGGTATGTAGGCTTTATCTGCTGAGCCAAAGAGTCTTTTCCATAACTGAGCCAACAGGAGCTGTGCGAATCTTGGCTGGAAGTTCCTCATCTTGATTAACTCCATTTCACATCTCTGCTAAGGACAGCACCTCTGACATCTCATGTTGAGATAGCCATGTAATAAACGTTACCTACTGCACTCTCACCCAATATTTTCAAATCACAAGGGATTCCCTGCAGAACACTTCTGCTATTGCTGAGACCCTGTTTGTTTTTCCAAGTGGTGCGGCTTTTTTCACACTGTGTCAGAAAAAGATTCTGTCACCTCATGGGCCATCTGTGAATTAAAAGACCCTTGAATCAGATCAAATGTTAAATCCTTTGTGAATACTTGGTTTGCTCAGCCAGAATTGCTTCCCATTTATTCCATCTTTTGTGTACATAGCTGAAGTGTTTATTCTGGAAATTACATGTGAACCTACTGTATGGTGAGACTATACTCCCTCTGATTGGCACTTTCACACTGGTGCTATTGTGCTTAAGGAACAAATGCCTGCTTCTTAGGCACCCAACTAAAATATTCTGCTTCTTGTGAAGATTTTATTATATTACTAAGTATTATATGGAGTAAGAAAAAATAATGAGACAGTGCACCCATTTCTGGCCGTGTGTGCAAAAAAGTAAGTCCAGATCCGCTCTGTTGAAGTTAATGGTCTAACACAGGTAGAATGGGCACAGCAAGTATGGTTTTGAGACAGAGAATCAGGGTAGCTGCATGCAGTCAGCTGTGATATATTCTGGTACCTCAGCAGATACTTAGAGAGTGGTCATTAGAGACCCACAAGAACATGTGCTGCATCAGGAACACCAGGCAATCATAACATGGCCTGGAAACAAATGAGAGTGGAGAAAAAGCCTTTAACCAAGTGTACTGCACTGAGTAGGTTAGGCTCCTTGGCATTTCAGATTTAGTCTGTTTTTCTCTCTGGTCAGAACATCATGTTGAGGTGGGCACGTAATCGTTCACAGCTGTCTGGTTGGACTGCCTGTTCCTGTCAGGTCTATCCTCACCCTTCCTTCACAGCAGCCCTGTAAACAGAAAACATGCACATTTTGGCTCTAAGTGGGCTAGCACAAGACTGTAAGTGGGTGAGACAGAATGTTTTAGGAACCACACTTGGCAAATGCAACACCATGTAAAAAGGAGCCAGGGCATTTCCACAAGCAATCCTTCCCAAGTGGGGACAAGACCATGAGGCATATTTTGCTCTGCACCTAATACTTTAATAGCCATACATAGACTGTCTTACCTGCTCTGCATTGGAGAAGTTGAATACTGTATCTCTTCTAAACATTTTCAGATGTTTAGCAGATCAAGTATCTGTGAAAGTGCTGTAAGTAATCTAAATTAGAATTCATTATTCTACCATTCCTGCCCTAAGTCAAAATGATACTGCGTCTGGGAATAAATTCTGTATATGCTGACATCTTAATCAAATACTTTCATGTGCAACAAATTAAAGATGTCACTCAACCCAATGAATCAGGTTTTTCTAATTATGTGAACTCAAATGAAAGTTTGTGGTAGGTGTGATCACATCTCAGACACATACTGGAGAGAAAACAATGCAAATAATCAGGACAGTGATTAAAAATGCAAATGTGACTTGATTAGCCTTGGAAAAATGAATTTCTGACCTGAAGAGCCAAAGGGAAGAAAACCCTGCTGAATATGATCTTTGTCTTTAATCTGACTGGCCATGGACAGACACCTCAAAATAATTTAGACTAAACAACGACACAGTGCCAACAGGGAAAGTCATCCTTTCTTGAGCAATGATACATTGCTGAAATAGCTTCCTGTTGCCACCCCAGCTGATACTATATCATGTTCCCTCTTGCAGGATGGAGAGATGTGGTCCTCTGTGAACTGCACCATCTGTGCTTGTGTGAAAGGCAAGACAGAGTGTCGCAAGAAACAGTGCATTCCAGTCAGCAGCTGTCCTCATGTAAGTATTTTAAAAGAACAGAGCTTTCTTCTCTTTTTTGCTCCACCATGATCTTTTGCAGTGCTTCTCGGAAATGTGTGCATGGCAGTGGGGCTTGCAGATTGGAAAGAAGGGATCCTCTGACATATTAATTTAGGCTGGTGTTCCCCAAGAGTGCTACTGCTACCCTGAATATAGGCTTCTCACCTCTGTCCTCGCTCTGAAGACCCTGTGTTCATTTTCTCCTATTCCCTTTACCTTTCTGTGTCTCAAGTATCTCCACTGGAACATCTCTTTCACATATATTTAATAGCTTTATAGAGTGGTGAGATGACTATGTTAATATTTCAAGAGTGTGTATATTGTTAAGGCAAGCTACAGGAGGCTGTTGTACTTGCATTTCTCAGTGCATATGAGGCTTAATACTTGATTGAAAATTTAAATTAGATAAAGCAAAATTATTTCAATCAAGCAATGCTACTTTTTCTAAGGTTGCAGCCCAAGTATTTTTTTATTGGAAAGTCTGAAGTGAACCCAAAGAGTAGTGTAATTGTAACTTTACTTAATTGCTTCAAAAATTAACATTACTTGAAACCTCAAACTGAAGTCAGCCCTTGTTTCTTGGATTTCTGTGACTGACAAATTATTTTAATAGCTCAGGCTTTCAGAAGAGGGAGCTCTAAATAGCACCTCATGTAGGGGCAGATCTTTGAACAGAACTGCAGAAGAGAGAGCCAAGTCGTTAGCATTACACCTTCTCAGTGTTTCCTTCTCCATCCTGGAAGCCAGTGAGGAAAATATGAGTCACAGACACCTAGGCATAAAATTTTAAATGACAAACTCTAGTTTGTAAAATTTTATACTTGTGAACTTTTGACAGCCAGAAGTGGTGGCAGAATAGGGAGCCTGTACCTTGGCATTCCCTGTTCTGCTGTGACAGTGGGCTGCAGAAGTAGTGCTTGCATCCTTGGAAGAGGGGACATCCTTTTCCTGCTGTTCTGGCACTCACTGCAGAGGGCAGTTCTCCTGTTAATATGTCTCATGTGAGATGTTTCATACTTCTTGGGAAGTGTGAACAAATGGAGCTGCTCTTCTGGGAACCTGATGTGACTCACAGCAATCAGGTTTGCTCCCTTCAGGCCATTCACAGTATAAGCAGGAGATGAGACTTGGACCTTTCAGGTTTCTTCAAATTCTTTGGTTGAGAATCTGGCACACACCACATCTCATTTATATTGTCCCTGTGCTGATGCATTTCAAACCTTTAAGATGCTTCTGAGATCAAATAACTAATATGGCTTAATATAGATCTTAAGTGAAATACACCTCTTCAGCAGTACCCATATATAAATTTGAGCATTGAGATGATGAGTTGAAGTGGCTTCTAAAATTAAAATAGTGGTGAGTAAAAATTCACCATCTGCAGTCCTGCAGCAGCATAACTGAATGACAAACTTGTTCAGTGCTGCTGCATGATCTACTCCAACATTGACGTGAAGTTCTAAACCTCCCCAGACCTCTGAATTGAGACCTCAGACAAGGTCCAGTTCCTTAGGGCTGAAAAGTCCATTTTTGTTACCCTACAGCACCATTCCCTCCAGTATCTAACCGGTCAGCCTGCTCCTCACCTTAAAATTGAGTCTACAGCAAACTACCTGAAAACCAACCCTCCTCCACAGGCACATGTTACATTTCTGCTCTTCCAAGCTAAACTGGAAGGACAAATAGGAGAAAGAATGTAAACTCTGGAGTGAGATTTATTTTCCTATTACAACTGACTACCAAGTAATTTTAAAGCAAATAATGTATGCTAATGGATTTAAATCTTTTACTTTTCCTCTGTGCTCCACTCTCTTTGGTGAGATATTCTGTCACAACTCTATAAACATTAATTAAAAAACCACATTATTCAAGATAAAGATATATTAGTGATTCTGATACCGAAATTCTGGATGTCATGCTTAGTTATGCTGCTGTCTCTGCAAACTGTAGGGATGTGAACTCCATTTCTTTTTTCTTCACAATATTTCTGGCAGTAAGCAGTCTCTACTGACTATTGAAGACTGCTGTGGAATAAAATGCTGTTTAGTGTCCCTTAGGGTGTCAGGCCACATAAAGTTATCTCATTAAAACTGTCTTATGATACACAGAACTGAGTGTGAAAGGATTGAAGATTCACAAGGAACTTAAAATATTATTCCTTGACTTAAATGCTTTACCATGCAGTCTTAATATTCTTTGCATGATGTTGTGGGGTTTTTTGGTGATGAAATATTATTTAATTTATCAACATAGAATTTGGCCAATTATTTCTTGAAAGGATGGGTTTGAAAGTGGTAATTCTGCAGAAATCTCCAATACTGTGCTAGCATTTGTATTATTCAATGTGTTGGTGGCAGGCTGACATATTTACAAAGACTGTTTCTGCCATTTCTTTAATTTTCTCTATAAGGCTAGCCACATTTTTCTGTTTCTTTTTTTTTTCTTTTCTTTTTGGATCATTTAATGCTGTATCAGTAATTACAGGAAGTGTCTGTCTTAGCTTATTTTCATCTGCAGCAGAGGCAATACATCTCGCGAATTCAGTCCCTCCTGTCATATTTGTAGTAAAATTGGTCCTCCCTGGGCTTCTAGTGAGCCTTGTGGTTTCTGTTTCTTACTTTCTTACTGACTCCACATGGATATTCCCTCTCTGTTACCTGGAGTGTCAGTCTGCAAGGTGCGGTACACCCTGGCCTCCATCCAGCAAACCTATTAAGCATGTGTCCAGTCCTAAAAAAAATGCTGAAGTTAGTAGGCCCTCCATGTGTGCTTAAACTTAAACACATGCTTAAATAATTTATAGAAAGGGAATAATCTCAACACTTGGCAGGATGGAGTTTCAGAGATCCTTTAGACCTTTTCTTACCTAATTTGCTGTTCACTTGCCCTACCCTGCTCCAGCTTCTTCCTTGCCTTGTCCCATCTCCTTTCTGATTGCCTGTCCTTATCATTTTCCCACCTCACCTCCTCTCCTTATGCCTTTGCATTCCCCACTAGCAGTGTAAGCCTGTGGTAGTGGTCAGTGGTCATTGACTTGTCTCCTTTTCTACTGCTAGAGGAGAACCTGGTGAATTTTACAGCATACAGCCTTTTCTGAGCTCCAAGGCTGCACAAAAGTTAATAGAATTAAATTCATGGCACGTGAAGACATTTTCGGAGTTCGATTCTGTGGGTAAATTTTGAACCCGTGAACTTCAAGTGAGTTGAAAATTTATTCAGAACACGTTCTCCCATCTCTAGCACAGACTGCATTTAATGTTATACACATCTGTTATTATTACAAACAAAAAGTTGCTGTTTTTACTCTAGTGCCAAATGAGGCACAAAAAAACAACAGCTGTTGCTATTGCACAACCAAACAACCCCCCTCCCTTCTGCAATTAGTCTTGCCTTAAAAAAAAAAAAAAAGAAAATAAAAACCTCAGACATAAAATTGGAAACCTCATAAAAAAGAAGAAAAAATCTCAGAAAATAAATAGACTCAAATGTGGTCTGCTTATAAATATTCATAGGGAAAAATGGGATCACATCACTTAGCCTGCTCCTGAGGGAACCCTCAATGCTAACGAACTCTTGCAGCACATGTTAGCAATAATGGGTTTCCTTATTCTACAAGACAAAAACAGGATCTCGGGCCAACATGGTGGCTCAAGTAACCAGCCTCAGCAGGCTGCCTTGGAGATTCCAGTTTCACTTGAATTTTTGCCACTTCCAGCTCAGCTGATGATTTCAATTCTTTTATTGAAACGGAGGGGTAAGGCCATGCAGTGCAGTGTGTGGCATTCAGCTGCACATCTTCCATTTGTACAAATAAGTGTTGCCCAGCTCCCTGTTTCTGTGCAGTTTTAACAGTTCCTTCTTTAAGGGGTTTTGTCCTAGCAGGTGCTTGGTCAGTCTTCCTGTTACAAACTGGTCCTCAGCTATTCTCTTTGCTCTGGGGCCTGATGGTCACACAAACATCTAAGCCTTGCCCACACTGCCAGTGAAAATCTGATCCAGCCCTTTTCTCAAGTCCAGATGTGCCTCAAGTCTGTTCACATGTGGTTGCACATTCAAAGAGAAGCTTACACTGAAGTTTTATGCCCCACAGATGATGAACCCAAGCACACTAATCACCAAGCTCTCATTCCTGCCATCTGGGTACATCAAGCACAAGCAGGAGGGAACATGCTCCGCTCCAATCTGCCAGCAGATACTTGGAGTTCATTTCTCCCCATGCACATTGTCAAAGCTTGGCAGCACTGTAGGCAGAAAGCAAGGCAGCCAGCAGTTGGGTTTGCTGCCTGTGCCCACTTCCCCACTCTCTGTAGACCTGCCACCTATTTCTTGTCTGTTTTCACAAGCCTTTCTGCACTGCTGAGTATGTTGAGTGGGCAGAATAGCACAGCTCCGTTTGCTCGCTCTTGCTGGCCGCTCCTTGCTCACCTGCTTGGTGGGGAGCAGGAGCAGTGATCCCACAAAGGGGACTTTCGCTGTGTTCAACTACTGTTGTAGCAAAGGATCGGTGCTGGGGAGCAGCACAGCTCCATATGCCTCTTCCTTCCCTGTATGGGAATGCAGGTGAGCTCCAATATCACCATAAGTTCTGTTATAACCCATGCCAGTTTTTGCTTGGAAAAACACATCATTCAGCCTGAAATTTTCCAGGCTTATCCTCTAGCTTGACAGTTAGCTTTAGGGAATTTAAGTAAAATCGGATAGAACATCTTTTAATTTGATGAAGACTGAAAAGGAGCGTGAATGTATGTACACAGGGGCATGTCTCCTGCTTGTAGCCAGCCTTGTATAAGCCACAACCATAAATAGAATTGACCTGGGCAGAGTGGGAAATAAAGATTCAAACCTTTTGTCCATATTACTATGACTAGACCAAATTATTTGCTTTTAGACATTTCACATCATTGGATGCATGCCTATTTACTTCACTGGGGAGATTGGTCCATGATTGGTAATATGATTTGGTGAGAGATACCACAAGATTTAGCCATGACATGAGTGAAATCTGGCCAAACTAGATCTCTGCCACTGCACCCTTCCTTCCTTCATTTTTGTAGGAAAAATGAATGGTTTGGGAAGAGGGTGAGAGTGGGTGTGGAGCAGATTGCCTCTGTGTGGCAACTAAAAGGGTGTGCATAGGAAATGTATATATTTTGGGAGGTGGGAGAAAAGGTAGTGATCTTGCTAACCCAGTGATTAGTCTGCTTTAGATATCCGTGAATACGAGTCCAAAATTCTCTCACACTCTCTCTAAAGAGAAAAGTGGTAACAGAGAACCCTTTTAGTACTTCATTTCTTATAAGACTGCCAGGAAGCTCTTTGAATAGTTCTGTCTGTTTTTAGCACCTGATATTTGAAGCTGTAACCAGGGCATTGAGTTCAAACACAACTTGAACTATTTTCAAAGGCTTATCCAGCCTTACAACATAACACAGTCATTGCTCCAAAAACTCTTTCATTAAATCAGCCTGTCTTTCTCCCAATTAGGGTAAAATCCTGAACAGAAAAGGATGCTGTCCTATTTGCACTGAAAGTAAGTTCTTTCTTCACATTCTTTACATTCTTTTTTATTCTTTCAGAGAAAATAAATATAGTAGAAGTATGTTTGCTTTTCTGCCTTCTTTTTTAGAGGTGGCTGAAGGGCAGGTGATTGTTGTTGGCCACAGATTTTGCCTCCTGTAAATCTGTAAATTTAAAATAAAATGTCTGAGTATTTATATTTTTTTTAATTTATTTTTTTCTAAATAACACTATTTTTGTCAGAACTGAGGTGCTGCTTTTTGAAGGGTATAGTTGGCCTGTGAAATTTTTAGGTAACAAAATAAGCAGATGAATAGAGTTGTAACTTTTAGGATTGAGTACCTTTTATACTTGTAAATAACAGCTATGTGTATGTATAATCTCAACTATGTGTATATATAATCTAACACCTTTGCAGATGATTTGTGAGAGTTAAAAAGCATGCAGAAATCTGAGACACAGTCTGGGGCAGCAGTGGAAAGTACAATAGAAAGCTATCCTACTGTCTGTATGATGTTTAGCTCAACCACTACCTTTTTATGCCTTTACTCTTCACTTTAAGAACCATCATCTTATGATATCAGTTGTGTTCTCTCCTAGTCAGCAAAGCACTTACACAAATACTTCTCTTTAAGCTTGTCCTAAGACCTGTCTTCACTGAAGTTAACAGGATACAACTACTTATTTCCTTCAGGACATGTTTAAGTATTTTACCAAATAGGGACAGACTGCTAAAATGGGGTTTTATGATTTATAGGAAGGCTTCTGAAAGAAGGAACAGGTTTTTAAGGAGAGTGTTTCCTGTTCTTTTGTCTAAAATCAAATTGTGTTTGCTGATCAACTTAATTCTGAGTGCTCTTGCATTGCACAAATTCCATGTGCTAAGTACCTGTTTTTCCACTCCGCAGCTCAATTATTTTGAAACATGTAACTTGTGATAAAATAAATCTAGTTTGCAAGTGTTCAGTATCAAAATGAAATTAAATACAAGTAACAACCTCGGAAACACTTGAAATAATACTGAGCAGAGGAAGAAATGAAAGAGGATTCAACTGACCAGCAGTTGATTTCATGTTAGCTCAGTTCCAAGGGAGAAGAAATTTGCATATACCTCTCCTCAAACATGAAATATCATTAGTGTCGTTAATTTACCAATCTCTATCTTGCCTCTGTTCTTATGTTTCAGTCTCATTTAATCTTTCTCATGGGTTTTTGGGTTTTTGGGGGGTTTTTTTGGTACATGAGAGAGGGAGGAAAATAATGGGGTCAGCCATTCCCTCAAGGCACTGGAAACCCTCTACTGTAAGGGGTTAAAAAGAAGACAGTACAGGGACTCCTTCAGAAATGCTGCCAGAGAATGAAGACTTGTGATAATTGTTTCATAGGAGAAGGAGGCAAAAGTAGATTTCTTCAAAGTAAAAATAACTCACCTAGGAAGCAGGTTACCCATTACCAGTCAGAATTTCTTGACGGTATAAGAAGGGAATGGTCATGACTATAAGATATGTGAAATTAAGGGCAGACTATTGTTGCTTATCCTCCTGCCATGCAGATTTGTAAAGAGCCTGGCTCCATCTTCCCAGTAACCTCCTTCTAGGTACTGGCAGATTGCTCTTAGGTCTCCCCAAAGCCTTCAGGATATACAACCTTACTCCCTTAGCCTCTTCTTATGGGCCCTGGCTGCATTGCACTGACTGTACGTGAGGCTGGGAAGCTTGTTGCACTGTCCCATGGTGGCATGTTCCTCTGTAGCACATGAAACAGAGGGATCCTTTTTTTTGGAAAGGACCCATTTAGTATTTGGAGGAGAGCTGATGCAGGACTGATTCTAGGCTTTTATGATTAAAAGGCCTTTCTCAGGTTTTATCAGGTAATGTAATCAAAGAGCTTAAATACCCACTGTCATACAGCAGTGGTGGCTACCACAAGCTGTTTTAACATCAGCGTTTTAACAGTTGCCATTTGCAAGGAACTAATTCTACCTTTGCGCCAGAAGTGCTGTAAATCTCATCATGACACAGGACAGGCAAAAGGCATAAGGATTTCAGTGATGATCACTATCTCAGATAGTAATTAGAAACTTTGCTACTTCAGCCAATTTCTGATGAGATAAGATGTACATGCACAGCACTTTCCCTCACCCACCCACTCATGTTGATCCTCTCTCCACGTATTAACACACCAGACATTTCTGGCGGTCCAGCAGATATTAATTTTCCAAAGTAAAAACAACATAGGAGGTACAAGAACATACTGTACACAGGAGAGCTTTGAGTACAGTTTAAATGCAGCCAATTTCTATGAAGTGGGTCAAAAACAGTCACGTTGTTAAAGGATACACTTTAAACGTAAAAAAAAAAAAAAAAAAAAAATCAAAGGATTATTTTCAAAGCACTTTGTTGCCGAGAGAAAAAAGTACCTCGTCTCCTAAAGGGCTGGAGAGTCTCTTTTGTCTACTGTTGCTGAAGTTAACTATGGTTAGTTTTGGCATGTTGCTGTTTAAGCTCCATGGCTGGCGTACAGTTATCACTAATTAAACACAGTGGTCATACTAGTGGAAAATTCAACAGTTTAGTTTATGCTGCTGTAAAAATGTAATGAAATGTAGTCTTTTGGGCTTGATTTAGAAAAATCACCACTGACGTCAATTCTATAAATTAGTAATCCTCTGTTAGACCAAGGTCATTTTCATATTAAAAAAAGAAAACACTGAACCTGAGTTCAAATAACATTAGCAGACTGCTCTCAACTCCCGACAAAGATGGGAATTTGCAGTGGAGGTTAAATCTTTGTTCTTGACAAAGAATTGATAGGCCTTGCTGAAATTACAGCAAGCAATATGAAAGCTTCCTACTGCAACCGTGGAGGTGTATTTTAATCATGATCAATAATCCTAACACAGTCTTACCCAAGTCATTGTGAGGCTTGATGGATGAAGTTTTTTCTAAGTGAACTGCAATTAATCATGTGTACTGCTAGACCGAATTTTGCAGTAAAGGCTTCTTTTGAGGCAGAAAATTTTGTTCATCACAAATCATTCTGTGGCTTTTTTTAATTGACAAAATGACCAGTGGAGCTAAACTAAACTCAAGGACATTTGGACCCTGCTTTAGGAATAAAATGTTGGTACTTTCCACCCGGTCCTGCATACTTTTTATTTGTTTTTATAGAAATAATGAAAAAAACCCCCTATGACTCTTCAACACAAAAAAAAAGAAGGAGAAAAAACAAAAAGGGTAGGGTTATGCCTTGTAGGTACCTGTGAGAGCAAGGAGTGGGACTGAAGGACCACATAGGCCCCTGCTGGTCCTGTTTCTTGTGTTATTTCCTGGCCTTGGCGAAATACATCAACAAAAAGACTGCAATTGTTTATTCATACTGGAATGCTATTCATGATTTACCTCCTCAACCGTTTCAGTCCTGATGGTCTACTGTATAAATATGTATTTGAACAAATTGGAATAGCTATTTTATTTATGAAATAGACCATAAAGACTCCTGTGGAGTTTTTGACACCACACCTTGTAATGTGTATTATATCAAGCTGCACTATGCAGCAGTTAGGAGGAAAGTACTCTATGGCTATGCATTTTTAAAAGAAAAGCTAATAAAATTCTATTATGCGTGTTCTGTAGCTCGTTTTCAAAAGTTAATAATGTGTTCTGTTTGATTTAGGGCTTAATTCAGCATATGGGCTAATTGCATTCAAAGTTTCATTTTCTTTTTAAAAAGCTGAGATATTTTTGAATTATAGATGTGCAACCAGAACACCCTTAACTGGTAAACTTGTATTTTTTCCTTACTTAGAAAGTGTCCAAACCAATTTTAGTTATAATTTAAAGTATATTTTTCTTGGCCACTCTTAACTAGCTACAAGCCCAGAAGAGTGTGACCAGACATCTGGACATCTTGGACTTCAATTGACTGCTCTGATCTCCTGAAAAAATAAAATAAGCTATTCCATGAGCACCAGAGCTAACAGAGCTTGGTTTCCTATGGATTTGTGTCCCATTTCCTTTTTATCCCAACAAATAATAAACCCAGCTAGAGACAATATATCCTGTGGCTGCTCTGGAGCTGCAAGTGTACTAATTGCCCAGCCAATATGCTCATGCTCTCCGGCTGGTCAGGATGTGTGTGCTGACTGTCTGTCTGGCCTCCCCCAAGCAGTATATACATCTCACATTTCTAGAAAGGCTAAATACCGTCTGGGGGGTGGGAGTGTTGGGTGGAAGGCAGAAAGGTATTTTTTGGCAACTAATTATTTCCATAACTGGTTCTTACCTTTACTCAGCATATTACTTAGAAATGAGTCGTCTTTCAGCTTTTTATCCCTGCATATTGGCCAAACCAGGTTGTGATTTCATAATTATTTTTTTCCCTTATGAGAGTATATTAAAACTCAGGGAATGATAAAATATTCTTTCCCTTGCTGTTGCTTTTTTCAGCTTCCTTTTTTTTATAGAATCATAGAATGGTTTGGATTGGAAGGGACCTTAAAGATCATCTAGTTCCAACCCCCCTGCCATCAGCAGGGACACCTTCCACTAGACCAGGTTGCTCAAAGCCTCATCCAGCCTGGCCTTAAACACTTCCAGGGAGGGGGCATCTACAACTTCCTTGGGCAACCTGTTCCAGTGTCTGACCACCCTCATGGTGAAAAACTTCTTCCTAATATCTAATCTAAACCTCCCCTCTTTCAGTTTAAACCCATTTCCCCTTGTTTTGTCATTAGTTGTCCTTATGAAAAGTCCCTCCCCAGCTTTCTTGTAGGCCCCCTTCAGGTATTGGAAGGCTGCTATAAGATCTCCACGGAGCCTTCTCTTTTTCAGGCTGAACAGCCCCAACTCTTTCAGCCTGTCTTCATAGGAGAGGTGCTCTAGCCCTAGGATCATCCTGGTGGCCCTTCTCTGGACTTATTCTAACTGGTCCATGCACAGATAAAAGTGTTTTCAAAAATGGTGCTCCTTGCCCGCAGTTGCTTTCCCCCTTACCTTCTCTAATGAAAGTTACTATTTCATTTGAATTGAGCACATGATTTGTAAATGCAAAAGCGTGCCAAGAGTTCTACAGTATTCACTTTAGCACCTAAATACTATTATTATTAGTTTGCGAGTAAGCTGCAGAGCCTTAGGTGGGAGCGGAGCAATCTGCATGAATCACACATGTAGTTTAAAATTGTCAAATGTAAAAGTGTGAAGTCCATGTTTAGTTGCTTAAAAATCAAATGTGGAAACTGCTGAGCTCCCGGGAGCTTTTACAAAAGCCAGAAGTTTTGAATGCTGATTTGGGAGCCTAAGTGCAGGATTTCCAAAAGAGGTTTTGAGGTGTTTGTAGCCAGCCTCCCAATAATGTTTAATCACAGTTGAGTGCCTAAGGCACTTTGAAAATCACAGCCTCCTGAACATAACTCTGGAACCCTCCTTTGAAAAATCTGTGTTTTTCAGGGACAGAGAGGGAATGGATATATTTGCCTTCGTGTACATTTGTAGATGAGCAAAAGGAGACATCAAAGATCATGAATGCCAGGTTGAAAACAAGCAAGAGGCAGTGGTTTTTCATGCACTTTGCCCAAGGATGTCGTGGATGGTAAAAACATTTTTAGGTTCAAGAGAAGGCTGGACAAATTCACAGAAAAGAAGTCTATCAAAGGTTACTAAATAAAGAGAAGCCATGTCTAGCTCATGATCCCTAGGCTGAAAATAGTTGGTGGAGTGTTAGGGGGAAGTATTGTATATAATTGCCCCTTTCTAACTCTACCCTAGACAGCTGATAGAGTCAAGGAGTATCTGCAATAAGCTGGGAACAATTTACTGTAGGAAAAAAAGGGAAGGATCTTCACCCATGATCCTATGCCTTGTTAGCACAGACTATCAAAATTCATACTCCAGCTTTGGGGAATGTAGCTTTGGTGATGCAGCGACACCTTTCCATCTGTTGTGTCCCAACAGAGGAGCAAGTCACGCACAGTTGTAACTAGAGAACCAGTGCTTCCAATAGATTTCAAAAACAGCCAAGCAGAAAGACTGATTTGTTTCAGAAGGGGGGGGGGGGGTAAAATGTGATGTGATTGAAACTCTCCCAAAAAGGAAATAAATAAACAACAACTCAAAACCTAAAAGTGGCAGGAACTCTTTTCATGTTGCTTGTCTTTTGCAGTCTTGTTACACCCTGTATTTAAGGTTTATTTCTAGGCCAACCAGTTCTTCTTACTGGTAATGCCTGAGTTATCACACACACTCTCACAGGGTGTAAAGCCCCACAGTTTTAGGAAACTTTTCAAGAATGTTTTACACAGTGATATCAGAGAATCAATTATTTAGGGTGGTTTTAGGTAGATTTTCCCTCCCCCATTTCCTTGGTTATTAAAACAGCAAAATTTGGATCAGACATTCAGATATCCAGTCCAAAATAGATTTATTTTTAATTTTAACTGTACTGCAACAAGTTGACATATGACGTGACACGATGTAACATAACATAAAACAGCATTACTCTGCATAACACATTAGAAATTAAAAATAAATATTTCCTTTGGATCCCATTGGTACTATCAATTTTACTTGCACATCTCTAAATTGTTTGTTCCTCTCATGTCTTGCCTGTTAGCCAATTGCTTAGGTGAGGAATCAGCCTCCCCATCCCAATATTGTAGTTAATAACACATATAACATGTCGATGTTCTTGGCCTCTAGAAACACAGACTAAAAGCAGTCGTCTCCTCTAAAATCTTCACTGATATTTGGACTGATTTTTTTGTTGATAGTTTCCTTGTTTTCATAAAAGTTGTCATTATGGTTAGAGAAAAAATAAAGACTGAAAAATGAAATTGAATCTGAGCAGGTAATAAAATGTATCTTAATATTAATCCTGCAGATAGTTACATAAGTGCATAAGGAAATTAGAAACATGTCAGTATGATTTGATTTAGTAATGATAAAATCAGATTATTTCCATATAAAATCTATGGGGTTTTTTTTCCCATTGGTAAAAATTATGTTGGTGATTAAAAACTATATGGTTCCTGACAATTTATGGAGAATCAATTAATCTTTCTATGAACTTTAGAAAACAGTTATTGATATCTTCATTGGTATCAATGGGAGGAGAACCTATTATAGCTGCTTTAGCATAGCACTCTGCCTAGGCTGAAAAACCCTACTGAGGTGTAGTTATTTCATAGTCAGAGCTGTGTCGCGCTCCACAGAAGGTGTTCCCTGCCTCTTCTCCACCAAATCCATGTCTCCTGTTTTGTAGGTTTGAATTTGCCTTTTTTTAGCTGCTTTTTCAGGCGAGCTATTGTTAGTTAGTTGTATTTTTTTTTCTTTTCAGTGAATAAATTGTGTTCCCTGTTGCCCTCCTCTCCTTTATTGTGTGATTGTTTTTTGTTTGGGGGTTGGCTTTTTTTCATTGATGCTGTTCACAGCTCTCTGATTACTGAGTCAAATTTTGTTACTCCACCAAGCTCTCCCCCTAAAACAGGCATCATCTTTCAAAAGCAGACTCAGCCCATGGGTATCCAGCTGGCAGTAGCAGCGTGCATTTCTCTGCCTTGAGATTTCTTCTTCCAGGAACAGCAGCAACGAGATGTGGTTAGGACCTATTGTTATACCAGAAGGCTGCAATGCAAATAAATTTGCTGTTCTCTTTGATTGTGAGGCAGTTCAATCAATTGCTGGGTAACTGCAGGGTAACTCAGCATCACTGACATGAGTGTGGAAACGTTCTGCTTTTCAACTGTGGCTTCTCTGACCAGCATATGGCTGCAAACATCAATAAGGAATCTCTTCTGTTTGTAATGATGCAAAGGCTTGGTGGAGATAGCGTGCCCTTAGGTAGTCATTGCATCATGCTAGTCAAGTGCTACCTGGCTTTTAGTTGGTAGCATGATAACAATAACTACTACAAGTCAGTTGTGTATAGACAACGTATATGATGGCTTTTAACATTAAATAAAGATGCTGATCCTACAGATAATTTAGGAAAAAACATAGATTTATGTAGTTTATAAATGTACAGTATTTATAAGTGTGTCTATGTAAAATACAGACAGAATCAGGTCCTGGTGAAGTGGTCTTATGGTTTTTAATTTCAGGGGATCACCCCGACCTAACTGGGGACATTAAAATTAGCCTCAAAAAGATACACGTGATGCTTTGAATTCTGCTTCTGTTAGTGGATTAGGTTTTGCTCCCACAACGAAACTTAAGGGTGGGAGTTCATCCCAGGGGAATTTAACTGTCTGAGAGGAATGTCTGTATCTGTAGATACTTATTTGTGCTCCCAGAGCTGACAGCAGGGAGACAGGCTCCTCCAGAGAGTAATTCCCCAGGTATTATAAGAGATGTATAAAACTGATGAGATGAAAGACTTTCTAGTCACGTCTGTTTCTCTCTGTTAGTGAGAGACAGAGACTGGATGAGTTGCTTAGAGTCATTTCATGTTTGGAAAGCTGAAGCGAGGTGGGAAGGCTCCCATCACGTATCTGCAGAGACAAGTGGGCTCTGCAAGCCCAGGGCTCTACCTGTTCTGATATCATGAATGGGGCTTGTATTTTCTGATAATGAAATAATTTGAACAATTTCACAGGTGTTGCAATAACCTAAACTGTTCAGGTAGTACATTATATTTAAGGAACAAACATATAGGTTGGAAGATGCGTCTTTGGTTCCCTTCCAACCCAAACCATTCTATGATTCCTAGCTACAGGTTAACCTTCCTATGCTGCCCCAAGGATCAATTGGCCTTTAGTTCCCATTTGCTTTGGGAAAGTCTCCTACTAAAGCTGTGAAGCTTCTGTTTCTCAAAAATACATATTCCTAGTGGGCATCAGCCAAATGTGCCCTGTAGGGCAGATAGATTAGGTGAGAGCAGCATCCTCTAAATTCTTATCAACTGCTTTTTTCAAGCTGTGATTGATCCTGATATGGCGCTTTTGTTTCTCACTCACCTGCAGAGCCTGGAGTTTGCACTGTATTTGGAGACCCTCACTACAACACTTTTGATGGACGGACATTTAACTTTCAGGGAACATGTCAGTACGTTTTGACGAAAGACTGCTCCTCCTCTGCCTCGCCCTTCCAGGTGCTGGTAAAAAACGATGCCCGTCGGACCCGTTCTTTCTCCTGGACAAAGTCAGTGGACCTTGTATTGGGCAGAAGCACTATCAGCCTCCAGCAGCACCTCACAGTGAAGTGGAATGGGACCCGCATCTCACTACCTTGCGAGACACCGCAATTTCAGATCGATTTGGATGGTTATTTGCTGAAAGTGACAACCAAAGCAGGTAGAGCAAATAATGTGTGTGTGTGTGTGTGTGTGTGTATGTCTTCTCCCTGAAGAACTTCTCAAGTGCAACATGAACAGCAGTCAGTAAAAAAAGCACGATAGTGGTAATAAACGTAGTTATAACTCTTTAGAGATCTGAGGAACCCAAACTGCTTTCAAAATCCCTGCAGTTCACAAGCAGAAATCCCAGCTGTGACTTTGCAGAACATTTGCTAAGCTATGTTTCATTCTGCAGTTGACAATTTCCTACCCTTGTAGACGAATGTGCCATGATTTTTCACTTCCAGTAACTTGAGTGGCTTATGCAGGGTCATAGTTTGATGCTTATAGGTAAGAACAGAGAGGAAATCAGTTCTTAAAAATAACATTCAGGTTTTTTCCCAGTTGCAGCAACATACCCTACAGTCTAAGTCAGCAGTTGTATAAAATTGTAGTTACTAATGGCTGGAACAACAAGTTTAAGTTGCCAAATTATGGAAATGTTTAACTGGGGCTCCCCAGCAAAATGGAGGTCCTGGTTTGAAAACCAAGGCTTATTTTGCTGTTCAGTGCCATCTTGTTGGCCTTGCTTTGTGCTTGAGTAAGAGTTTGTGTGAAACAGATAGTCCACAATGCCAGGTGCAGAAGGAAACCAAAAACTTCAGAGAATCTGGTACCTTATTTGTAGAAACGGGGAGGGGAGATAGCAGACTCTCAGGTCTTTTGAGTCCTAGAAAATACATTAATTGTCAATATGCTAAACCAGGGGACTTTTATTTGTTTTGATAAACTGTTCTGAAACGATAGTATCCTTACATAGATAAATACTGAGAGGAACTTTAAAACTTTCTTATTAGCATGTGTTAGGTACTACTGTAGTCCTGAGAGATTTCACTTACACAGTGAAGTACTGTTTCAGTGAGAATACTATTTACTGTTAATTCAATTAAACGCCGTGCGAAAGCAGTGAAACCAATCGTTCTTAAGGAGTGATATGGTCACAGGCAAGACGCATAGTCATACCCATTATCTAGCATCACTTTTTTTTCAAGGGGGGACACTAGCACCCACTGTTGAGCTGAGAATTTAGACACCTGTTCATATAGCCCCTGGAAATGTAAGTCTGCATAATGTGGATCCCAGCTCTGGGCTCATTCCTCAAAGTGGCAATGCAGATTTTTGTGGCTGTCTGTAAAATGCACACAAGTTGACCATTATTCACAACTTCTAATTAAAAGCATCTTGAGGGTTTCTCTTTGCAGCCAGCTGAATGCTATGAATTCTGGCGATGTGGATTTCATTAGCCAACCACAGGCCAAGAAAGGTTTTCAATCGAAGATGAATGACAGCTAATCCTGCTGCTATTCCATTTGTCTCTGGTGCAAGCCTAATAAATGACTACACACATCCCTGTCCATGTGTTGGCAGAGGGAGTGCAAACATGGCATATGACAACATACCAAACAGTGTGTAATCACTGCAAATTAAAGCCTAAATAATTCCTCCCCTTAACGGAGCAGGATCAGGTTTCTCTTGCTGAACACAGCACGATGGGCCAAGTCTTCCTTTCCTCAGCACGTAAGGTTTGGAAAGCAGCAGAACGGCATGGCTTCATCTTGCTCGGAGAGGACAAGCAGCAGAGAGGCTGTGGAGAGGAAGAATGTGCTGAGTAGAACTGTTTTAGAGACAAACCTTTTCTTCCACCGGAAATTCTGAGTGCCGGGGGAAAAAAAATAGATAATTTTGTCTATTTCAGAATGAAACGTGGATTTTTTTAAAAGTATGTTCTTTCCCTTTGTAGGGCAAAAAAAAAAAAAAGAGGAGGAGGGAGAGAGTCTTGAAAAATAGGCAAAAGCACTGCACTAGAGGCAAAATTCAAAGTAAAATTGGACTGGAAGGTATAGGGTCTGGTGCTTACAGCTCAGCCAGCATTCCCACAGCTTTTGGTTTTCCTTTTGCAGAGCTAGGAGATGAACCCTGCGTAAAACAGGGGAGCCCAGAGCTTCAGACAGTCTTGTGGTCCCTGGCTACAGGGCAACCGGCATGGCAGGGCTGTCCTGGAGTTGCATACCCTGAGAGTCCAGGTTTCCAGGCAGCCCACCGGGCGAGCTGGCGGGAAACCAGCCTGGAGCCTTGCCTGTGCTGTGTTGGAAGTTCATTGAATCCGATATCTCTCCCTGAAGCATTTCAGTTCTGATGAATTGGCATTTTCCAGTGAAAACCTGTTTCGTTGCTAAATTCCTTGCCAGCTGCAGCCCTGGATGCCATGCAGCAGCAATTCTGGCACCCTGCACTTGCAGGTACTTTGTCACAGGTGCAGTTGGGATGGTGTTGAGTCCTTGTCTAAAATTTGTGTGTTAAAAAGACAAGAGAGCAGAGGGTCACAGAGCTGGTGTTACTTATCTGTGCCTCTAGCTCAAGAGCATTTTTTTGTTGTTGTTTCTGTGCTGATCTTTTGCACAAAGACGCTTTGCTGAGGTTTTCTGTACCACGTTGGCACTAGATCTTTAGGGAAGAGTGGTCTGCCAGTTCTCGAGGATGCCTTTACCATGAAAAATCATGCAGAACAATTGGTGGGAGTTCCCAACATGAGGAACGCAGTGTGTGATGTGCATAAATCCAGAAGGATTTTTTTAAATGCAGTAGAACACATAGTGTGCCAAGTTAAGAAATCAAGTAACAAGTTGGTTAAGCATCCTTCAAAGAAAGGGGAAAATTGGAAAACCCTAAAAAGTAACTCAGAGAATATTCCTTTTCTGCACATCCCCAGATGGGACAGATGCTGCATCCTTTGGCTTCACATCTCTTGGATTCTGATCCTTGTCCAAGTGAATGGGAAACTCATCCATTTTGGGGGGGAAGGAAAGGGAGGTATAGGCACCAAGAAACTCTTCCAAACAATTTCTGTCTGCCAAGGAGACCATTTCAAACATCGTTCTCTAGCATAATCCCGTCTGTCACAGCTCTTGTTGATTTACAGAAACCAACTGAATTTTCTGCTTGTGAACAAACAAAAAGGCACACACTGCACAGCGCGATCCGACCTCGAGAAAATTATCATGCGTGTAGGAGTAAATACCCTTCCTCATGACCCCAAAAGTCAATAAGCTCTGTTATGGACAGAAACCTTTAGGTTGTTCATCAGAGCTAGAAATTACCCTTCCATCTGAGCAAGTACAGCAGAATATAGTGTAATTAAACAATACCCAGCTAGAGAAAAGTACATTCTTTTGTGGTAGTTAAACTGAGTCTCTTGAATCAAATCCAGTAATCAAAGCAGGAATCTCTAGATTTAAAAATGAGCATTTTTATATGCTGAGATGAAAAGTCATAATTTTATATTAATCTTGGCTGCGTACCTAGAGTTCACAGAATAATGTGTAACAAGTAGATTAACTTAACTCTCACAAAGGACACACAAATATTCAGGAGAATTTTAGAGTTAACCTTTCATAATGGAAGTGAGTGGTTTCACTGAAAGTTAGTAGGTCTTGGCTTGAGAAAAAAAGTTGTAAAGGGAAAATTAAGATAGAATCATTAGCCAGTCTTTTGTGACTCTGCTTAGAGTCAGCAGCTTCTGAGGGAGCTTGTTTGGGGAAGAAGTTTAACAGTGCCTTAGAAACTGGAGTTATTTTCTGAAGAGAACTGTCTGAGAATTTGGATCTTGATGCTTCAAGCTTTGAGAAAGTTTATATGATTCTCAAGTCTGAAGAAATCTTAGTTTATAAATTAATGGCAAAGTTTTTCTAAATGCCAGCACGGCAGCATTAATCTGGTGTCTGCAAATCAAGCTGGTTTTTGTTTTGTTCAGCGTTGTCAGAAGCAAAGACAGCTGGAATTTGAATTTGTCCAGCAATGATAATGTATGAAGCAGCTTAAAAGGCAGCTTTCCTCCTTGCCACTGTGCTGGCCTCGGTAACAATTGTATTCTTGCACAATTTCTCAGTTGGCTGGGAGTAAAGGGCCTTTGGAGGAGGACACAGTGGTCCTATCCATGCTGAGTTTCTTAGATAATTTGAAACTGCTTTCAGGCGTAGTCAGCTCAGGACATACTTTTGCTATCATTGCTAACCTCTAGCGATAAGAAAACGTGATGCAATCGATTGTACTGACCGGTGACACAGAATTATCTGAACAACCCTTGCAGGGTTAAATTGTTCCCCAAACTCTTGGTGACACGGTGTAAACCAGACGATTGCCAGGACAGTATGTACAGATAGCAAAGCACCCCTTCCATAGCCATAATCGCTGCTTGAGCCTCACCCTGTTTCTCTGCAGTGCGGGTAGGAATTGTCATAGGAGACAATGGGATGTGTTGCTAAAGGAAGGGTTCCAGCTTTGAACTGAGTCACTGGTATGTTAATTACTTACATGAGGATAGGGCAGGATTTGGATCACATAGTGACAAGCACTGATTTACAAGAGGAAAGTGTGGTGCTAAGCCAACCCACACAGCAAATGTAGAAAGCTGCAGCGAAACCCTGGTCCTGTACTGTGGAGTGATATTGTTTGGTATTCTTGGCCAGGCAGGGAGAAGAGAGTAAAATCTGGATTATCCTGTTTAAAAGCGGGTTCCTATATTTATTCTAACTAACCGCTGCACGTAGGTACTTTATGGCAATAAATTAATGCCAGTAAAATGATTTGTGATCTTCGGATACAGGATTACTGCAGAGGTGTGAAGTAAGAGCATTCATCAGACATTGGAAATAATGACAAGAAAAGCCATTTTTGGGTAGAAGTTAAGCAGCAGTGATTCTTGGTGTTGTTTTTATCCCATATGATATCAAAATTTCTTTCTCTTATGAAATACATACTTACCCCTCAAAGGAGGTAATTAATTTACAATCACCCAGGTAAAAACTAGAAGTGTAGTCTCCACCTGATCTCTGAGCCCTCTAGAATACCACGAGAAACAGAAAGGCATTCAGAAGGTAGTGTATTCCCTCTGCATTAGACACCCATGTTGTGCCCCAGAGCTGCCACCTCCATCAAAGAGGGGGCCCAGACAGCTGACTTACACTAGACACCTAGCTTTTAGCTGGATGCAGACAGATAAAATGGATTTCACCCTCAGAAAGCAATTTTGATGTACTAGAAGTGCAAAACCTTACCATAAACCAGATTGTAGCAGAGCACTTAAATCCCAGCCACTAGATGAAGATGTTTACCATCGTTCCTCAGTGTTGCTGGCTTATGAAGACAACTTCAAAAGATTGCTAATTAATACCTCTTGAATGAACAGTTTGAATCCAGTTCAGAATGCCTTCTTACAACAGTTTTACCACTCATATCTTTGTGGTCACCTTTTTAACTCTCTTTACCCACACAAAAATAAGGTGCTTGCATTGAACTGTTGTATTCACCCAAATGAGTGATCAGTGTCAGCTTTGCAGGTAAGAAAAAGGATGTTTTCCATAGGGTGGTCACTGATGGAGTCTCATGGGACATGGACACCTTTGTATGCCCATGACTTGTGCAATGGGTGACAGTGGCTGAAATGTTGGGCCCCTGTGAAATCAGCTAGAAATTTGTCCTAGCAAATTCAATTTGCAGAATTTTGCAAGAGCCCTTTTTCAAGGTTGAGAGTAGTTTTGCCTTGGCTCCAGATTTTTTGGGGTAACCCCATTCATTAGCAAGGAGGAACAAAAGTAAACAGAGGCAGGCACGAGTGTATTGACTGTGATTTAAGAAACACTACACTTGCCAGAGGCACTTACTGGGAGGTATATAGAAATCTAACAACTTTACCAGAAGGAAGCCAGTGGCTTTGTTTAGGTTTCCATGAACACTTTCACAAACATAAGACACAGTTTGTTATCCTCAATTTTTTCTTATTCTCTTTTTTGTGTGTGTGTGGTTTTGTCTCTTTATTAGGCCTGGAAATCTCATGGGATGGAGACAGTTTTGTGGAAGTCATGGCTGCACCGCATCTGAAAGGCAAACTCTGTGGTCTGTGTGGCAATTACAACGGGCACAAGAGAGATGACCTGATTGGAGGGGATGGGAATTTTAAGTTTGACGTGGATGACTTTGCCGAATCCTGGCGTGTGGAGTCCAACGAGTTCTGCAGCCGCCCACAGAGAAAACCTGTGCCTGACCTCTGTCACGGGACAGTCAGGGTGAAACTCCGAGCTCACCGCGAATGCCAGAAGCTCAAAGCGTGGGAGTTTCAGGGCTGTCATTCAACGGTGGATTATACCACATTTTACCGGTAAGTGTGGCTCTCTATGGAGGGAGATAGTAAGTTACTGTATGAGGAGAAAAACCACACAGCGGGCCCAATTTCAATAACATTTGAGCACATGCTTTGAGCTGCTTTTGCTAAGAATTAACATACAGGCTTAGAGTTACATTATGATGAACTTTTCTGAGTTAGGAATCAGAAGATGGCCCTGAGCTAATAAAGACCTGAACAGCCAGCAGTGAGAAAGGCAGGCAGGCTTGTGATCACCTAGAGAAAAACTACTTTTGGAGACTGAGGAGAGAGAGGGAAGAGACTTCAAAACATTTTGGTAAGTTCTTTCTGATTTCAAAGTCAGCTGTAAAGTTGAGGCTGACTTTATTTGCCATTGCTTGTGGTCCAAAGACGTGTGTCTTCCCAGAAGCGTTTTGAAAATCACTTTATTAGAGCAGAGATATTGAATATTACTAGTGCCTCTTGGATGGCATGGTTTGTGGGTTGAGAGTTTGAAAGGAGAGAGTTAACAAAAATTTCAGTGCCCATCTTGCCCTGGGAGCAAAGGAAGACAGATGATCTAGAAGCCTTGTCTGAGTGAATTATTTAACATTTTTTATCTTTAAAATACTTCCAGTCTAAACCACAGAGACATCATTTCTGTTCTTTAATTGGCATGAGTTTATTTGCCCCTCACTCAGTAAGTAAAATTGGCTTTTCTTTTGATTGCCTGACATAAAAGATAAAAGCAAGTTGAGTCACAGTTGTATGATGGTGGATGGAGCTGCCTGATCTCTGAGCTCCCAGCTTTCCCCACTTGTGCACATCCGCTGAACCACTGGGCTTATTAGGAAAAGCTTTCTAAAATGACTCCATTTCCCTTATGAATTGCCTTTCCTCTTCTTTTAAAATGAGACAGAAAGACTTTTATCTACCCCAGCAAAATACATCTGGGACTGGGAAATGCTAGAAGAAGACACACAGCTTGTCTTGTAGTCTTATGTGCTTCTGCATTCAGTTTGGTATAGTGTGTCCTCATGCTATGAGCCTGGCAAAGAGTGCAGAGAGCACTAGAGATGCTAACACACACGTACAGGGTCTGTTGAATGCATTTCAGCAACATTCCCATCTCACTTCCATCGTCCTGTAAAGGTAAGTGATGACAATGCAAATGGAAAACAGGCACAGAGAGATTTGTTTCATTTTGCAGTGGATTTTTTGTCCCCTTTTTAAAGTAGCTCATGATTAATTTAGTGCAATGCACTTCCTGACACCACAGCGGAAAATGATTTATATTTTGGCTACAGCAGCCAGAAAAAAAATCTCTACATGGTTGCACACAAGAATTACCATAAAGAATTTCTGTTCCTTTAAAATAATGTCTTCTATTTGTCCTGGAAATACAATGAAATCAAGCAAGTATTTGATTTGATTTGATTATGTTCTTTTGTAGAAAATCCTGTTTTTCCCTAGGGAAAAACTTTATGTTGAAATGACCATCATATTCTGTCAGAAGTAGCTGTTCTTTTGTTTCCATTTAGATGTTGCCAGCTGTTAGAATGCTCAGCTCCCAATACAGGAATCAAAGACAAAATATAAATGAAAATTAAATAATGGTATTTAGTAGAACGTTGCATCTTGATAGAAACTGACAAAGTTGTAGCAAGCAATTTATTCAGTGACCATGACTATTTTCACAGTAGGAAATTCCCATAAGGAGGTAATGATTATGGGACAAACATTCAAGAAAGTTCTGTGAACTTTCTAATATAAATCTTTGCATATATAAATAGAACTGTTTGTGTGTGTATATATATATATATGTATAAATACGAGTGCTTAAGAGATTTGCATTTTTCATGATTTTTTTTCAAAAAACCCATTGATGGTGATGTACTTTTGCAGAAAATTTGTTACCATTTAAAGAAATTAAAATTAACCTTCACAGCTTTTTACTGAAGGCTTTTAGAAAAGCATGTTTAGTCAATGTTTTCTAATTTCATGCTAGATTTAACACCGTTTTTTCCAGTTTTGCTTTTCTGACTATGAACAAGCTCCTAGCAGTAAGAGAAGTCAAGAGGCAGAATGGTAGAGTCAGGTTCTTTCATTTTGCTATTCATCTCCTCTTTGAATTGAATAGCTTCTCAGTTTTTACCCGCCAACATTAAGTATTATGGAATTTTTCTATTTGAAATACTGCATTCTCAAGAGTTAATCTTTTTGGTCATTCTTACCTATATTATCAACATTGCCTCATTTTCATTATGCTGCTCTGGTAGTGACCTGTTCTTAATAAGAATCCTCAGAAACAGAAATAAACTCAGCAGAAACATTACGAATTATGGTGTGTTTTCTCCAAACACCAAAAAAAGGCAGCAAACAATGCATTGCAAACATTTGTCTGACATTGTGTTACTGAGGAGATTTCTGTGAAGACATCTCAAATTCATTTTAAGTCTCATTCTTTTTACAGCTGTAATTTCTCCTTTTGTTGACCATCCAAAAACATATATGACAAGATTGTAATGATTGTTAGGTGAAAAGGATATGGTTAAAGTTTTAAAGACTAGAGATCTAGCTGCATGGTTGTGGGGTGAAGAACAGCCAAGTCCTGAGCTTGACCTTGACAGATCTATGATGCCTTAGGAGAAATGTTTGTGCACCTTACCGTTACCCCTTTTTTTGATGTTGTGATTTTGGTGACTCGTGTTGCTTTGCAAAGCATGTGGTAGAGGAAAGCACAATGTAAGTGCACAAGAAAGGATTTTGAAATAGTCCAGACTGCAAACTAACAATTTTAGCATCTAATTTTATACCACTCTCTTAATTCTTTGTTTTGTAACTATACACGTTTTATGAGCTTTTAATTGTGGTTTGTTTTGTTTAGTTTTGGGTTGGTATTTTTTGTTTGTCTTTAATGCATTGCTAGTTCTTCAGTACTCATGAGTAACACTCTAAAAATAACCCTCAAAGTTGAACTTTAGGGAGGCAAGTTCATTAAGCAGGGAAACTATTTTGAATTTCCAGGAGATTTTGGTGAAGTCTGGGTGAAGAAGAGATTAGCAGTGACAGCCATCAGCATTGCCAGTTGTCTATTTTGATATTTTAACATGGTTAAGTGTCCTGGTTTAGTCCTTGTCAAAACGAAGAGAAAAAGTTACCAGGGTTACTCAGTAGGAAGTTTTTAGAGGGGATACTTTGACTGTGTATGCAATAAAGCTTGCACTCAGACTCCTGAAGCTGCTCTTGAGTATAAGCAACACTAAAAATAGGTGATACCATCTGAATTTCTCATGCTGCTGTTACCAGAAAAAGCTCTATCATGGTATCAAGAAATATTACAGTACTATTTAAGCTCTTGGATGAGGATTTGGGGAGCTTAGGGGACTTTAGGAAGAAGAGGACTTTCTGTGCTCACCAACCCCTACCTCATGTATGATCTCATTGTATATCTTTGAGCTGTGCTGGAGCAGGGGGCTGGAAGTGAGGCCAGGGAGCAACATGACGTGGGGGGCAGGTCCCCAGCATGGGGGTGCATGCCTTCTTTGCTTGGCCATGGCTGACGCCTCTCGGGTGCCTCCTTGGGAGGCACAGGAGCAGGCAGCTCCAAACAGGGGTGTGGGGACTGCAATGAGAGAGGCACAGCAAGGCTGCTCGATACAGGGGTAAGTTGGGCTGCAGGAGATGCTGTAAAGGAAGGCACAGGACTAATACTCCTAGTAACACCTGCCCTTATCAGCATCCATGACTTTCTAGTAGTTCTTTTTTTTAATAATGTGGTATCACCAGCAGATTTGGAATGTGATGTCAACCTGATATCAGTGTATCACCCATCTCTAATACATCCGCTCAGCAGCTGAGTTCATAAATGACTAGTTAGACATTGCTCAAGACTCTCACTGCTGCCATCACTTTGGAAAAACTTTCAATGTCTTGCTTTTGCCATGCAGTACATTTCCCCATTTGAGATTGGAAAGTTTGTGCTCCTAATTATTGAGACAAGTCCTTTTATTGTTATTACTCTTCCAATTATAATAATAATAATAATTATTATTATTATTATTATTATTTTGTTATTGTTGCTATTATTATTATAATGTTTTAACAGATAACAGCACACTAAACAGTCACATTTTTTCTCTTTTGTAATTGTCCCAAGAGGTGTTTTGAGATTGGAAAGTTTGTGCTCCTGATTCTTGAGACAAGTCCTTTTATTGTTATTACTCTTCCTATTATTATTCTAATAATAATATACTTTTGTTATTGTTGCTATTATTACTATAACAGTTTTAACAGACAACAGCATACTAAATAATTAGTCACTCTTTTTCTCTTTTGTAATTGTCCCAAGAGGTGTGTTTACCTCTCATTTGAATTGAGTCATATTCAGTATTTTATGGCACGCAGTAATTAACAAACATTGGAATTGAATCATTCAGTATTTTATGGCACGCAGTAATTAACATAGTAATAGCCTCATTTGTTTGAATCTGTTAATCAAATACATTTAGGAATTGCAAATCTACTTTATTGTAATTCTTGTCTCAAATGTTCCTTGTGACTGTGCTGACATTACTTCGTCTTAGCTCTTGCTTAATCTCTTGCTTTTGCCATGCAGTACATTTCCCCATTTGAGATTGGAAAGTTTGTGCTCCTGATTCTTGAGACAAGTCCTTTTATTGTTATTACTCTTCCTATTATTATTCTAATAATAATATACTTTTGTTATTGTTGCTATTATTACTATAACAGTTTTAACAGACAACAGCATACTAAATAATTAGTCACTCTTTTTCTCTTTTGTAATTGTCCCAAGAGGTGTGTTTACCTCTCAAACATTGGAATTGAATCATTCAGTATTTTATGGCACGCAGTAATTAACATAGTAATAGCCTCATTTGTTTGAATCTGTTAATCAAATACATTTAGGAATTGCAAATCTACTTTATTGTAATTCTTGTCTCAAATGTTCCTTGTGACTGTGCTGACATCACTCCGTCTTAGCTCTTGCTTAATCAGTTAATGACTTTCTATTT